TAGAAATACCAATATCATTTGACTCCTGTGCGAGTGGGTCTTACAGAAACCACAGTAGAATAATTATTTTAATTGTATAATTTTGAGAACTTTAACATTTAAAAAAAGAATAAAGTGGGATGACGATCAGCATTTGTTTCCGAAGCCACCTAAATGACATCATCCTGAAGGCGTACGAAAGTGCCAGATTCGCCCATTACTTTTAGATTGTATTCCTTGTACTCCTTCAGAAGGTTCTTCGCTGAAGCCGGTCTCTTGGATTCGTCAACATTTATCTGTGACGTGTAATCACCGGAGCCATACTGTTCTAAAAAGCGTGTTTCATTTTCCTCTGCAAAGTTCAACGAGAAAGTATTCAGGTGACAGTGGAACAGGAAGAGTAAACAATTACAAAAAATTAACTTTCATGACAAAACTTTTCTCATCGCATTTCCTCAAAAGCGAGACACAAAGGAACCCCTGTTTTTGCTTAAATCGCAGATTGCCTTCGATCAATTCTGGCTAATTCAATGCACTTTGGAGAAAGCAATCTGATTGCCACTTTTAGAAGCCAGCATATCTCATTAGACTTTGACGAAAATTTTGGAATATGTTTCACGTTCAGAGGGAGTAGTGAATATCTCTGCAGCGGTATCCCACAATATTTCAGTGACGCCCGGATGACGGCTTTTGAACGTGATCTTTTGCGGTCGTCTGCATAAATCACACTAGTATGACTTTTGGGTTTGTTCTTGACCTCCTGAAATATAAATTGCGAATGGCATGCATAAATTAATTGTCGCGTAATTATCAGGTCCGCATTCGAGGCAATTGTGGCAATAAGTGAGTTGAACACGAAATTTCAAGCCAGTACCGCCCCAATTAAGACCGGAATGATGGCTACAGAAATAAATAATTATCGTACGCACACAGATGTCGACCATGAAATCTAAAAACTGTACAACCAGTGCACGCCTGAAAAATAAAACTCCTGTTCCAGTGGTCGTCTCCTATTCTTCTGAACTGCCTCCTGGAACTCGCATATTCCTCACTATTGGCACTATATACTACTTCTTGTACTGATTTTGGTAAAGAGGTATGACGACTGCAAATTCTGTACTCAAAGAAAGAATATTGTTTTAATTATTTTATTTAGAGTACAGTAAAACGGCCATTCATGCAGTATCGCATCAGCACTTCTAGCAAGACTGCGTATGATCTACATCTGTAGTGACGCAATTCCGCGTGCAATTCTCATTCTCTCACGGCTGCTAACTCGTGCACAAGCACCAGTGTCTGCTTCACAAGTCTGGCTAATCATCTCCATGTGACTGACGCACATACAATACGCGCCAGCATTCGTGCAAAATGCTGAAAGGTGTGAAAGATTAATACCCTTTCGCTAATCGGCATTGACTAAGGTTGTGGTATTGATTATCAACAAGGCAATCTAATTGGTTTGTGGACCTATGTTACACACGTTCGTTTCCCTAAATGGGTTATACCTCTAACACTCAAAAACTTCCGCTTTCTGCGCACTTCCTGTTGTGTTCTTTCTGTAGGGGCTCACATTAGGCGTAGTTGGTCGACGAATATTTTGGCATGGGCGTCCGTTACAACATATTGTCGAGGTGATATTTCGGTATGGGCCTCCGTTACAACATTTTTGGCGACGCAGTATTCGAACTCATTGTGACCATCTCCACAACACCATTACTTACTATCATAAAGCAATTCCATGTTTAGCACCGTGGAACAATCGCTATCTCTCGTGCACCCCTACCCTTGTGCATTGCTGTCGAAAAGCCGTTGAATATCTGTTAAAGCCCAGTTACTTCGGCGTCGCCAGTTGCTATAGCCTAGCATTTCGAACCCAGCTAATAGGAAAAAGAAGGCGAGGTGCGGTCCTGGTAAGCAATGACTTTATTCAACCGTACACAAAGACTGTGTGGCGTGCGGCGTCTGCTGAGTCGTCAGAGTCTGCCGGTCCGTCCGTGTCAACGTCCTTTAGCTTGTCCACGCCAGCATATTTATACGACCCCGGTCTTTTCAGAATATTCCTAGTGTAGGGCCTGCTTCCAGGCATTCTGTAATAATCTTGACTACGTCCACTGCGCCTGCTCTGTGGGTGGTCGTCTGGCTTTCTTGTCTCACGGTGTATGTGTAGGCGTGGGCGTCTGGCATGCGGGCGTAACGTACTCCGGGCGTCCCTTTTCGCCGACTACCGTGAATGCACGGGGGCGTCACGTGTGCTCGGGGAGTGTGCGGCCGGCCTGCGGCCATGACTCAAA